AGTTGACTAGATGTAATAACAAACGGTACCACAATGCGGCTTGCACGGCACAACTCAAATCCGTATTAACATTACAATTGTTCGCTTTGTGTGCAGGGTCACAGGTTCGAGGCCGCTGTTCACCCGTTTGCGAGCTTTATTTCGACCTTTCTTAACTTAGTTTGCCTTATCCCTTTTAAAACACGGGGTCTGAAATATCATCAGTTCGATGGCATGGTCACTCTGGATTTTAAATTCATAAACATGAAATAAAAGGCTATGTATTTCGGTATTATATACGCATACACGTTTTAATTTACATTTCCTGCGATACAATTTTGTAATTTTCTTATCTTTAATATACTGCGAAGCCCTTCAAATACGTTTTATGTAAGTCATATTAATTAGATTGAATACATCTTCCTTTAGGTCGTAACAGTATATATCTCTTTTTATATTACAATTACTAAAGATGCATAGAAAGAGGCAATCTTATTCCACAACTCTAATACATCTTTAGTTCATTCGTTCTTGGATCGAGCTACCTGCTTGCACAGCTGCGATTGAATTCCAAGGGAACCGGTTCGTTTGTTTTTGGGTCGTTGTATTTCAGTTTGCGAATATCCTTTATGGCCTTTACAATGCACTTAACGTTTAACTACTAATAAATATTAAAACAGGTTTTTGTAAGATACTCTTTAAAATTTCACTGTCAATATTTAAACCAAAGACCACGAACCACGACCTGTTCCCTCTTCCTAGATGCATTTTGCTTACTCTTAAGTTATTATTAGCTTTTAGTATATACTTGTGCGTCCACGTCGTTCTAAGACATTGCATAGTTACGATATAAATTCAACGTACTTTCATTAGAATAAGTAAATATAACATACGTAGCTATTGGACCAAATCATAGACAAACAAATACAAGTATTTGTCCCGGATAAATTATTTACAACATCAGTTTAGTCGCTTTGCAATCATTTAGGTGTACTAAAAATCCGAATCCAGTTTGTGTCGTAAAACTATAAGCCAGTGGCATTATTGATTAATTTATGACAAGATTAAAGATAAAGTCAAAATCGAGTACCTTGGTCATATGTATCGTGATTATTGAACAATTTAGAGTGGCTGTTAGACATTTTGGCACGTTCGTCACGACTGTATATTAATGATCACTCTATTATACATTAATATTCAGGTCAAGTACAATTCTATTAAAATATGATTTACTTTTTATCAACGACACATATAAAACTTTCAAGGTACAATTTTATTAATGTTATAAATGCGATTGTTTGGATGTATGGATGAATGGATGGATGTTTGTTATAAGATATTTTTGTAACGGCTCAACTTCGATTAATTTTGGCATAGATGTAGAACATAACCTGAAAGGCACACATAGGCGACTTATTTTTTTTTTTTAATTTCGCGCAGACGGAATCGTGGGCGTCACCTAGTTTGATATAATTACTAGCTAAATGCGTTATTCTGTGTTGAATAATTACTTTCATTAATGCATAGTCGTAGTTAAATCGATACTATTTTCTTATATCATTTTAAATTATCATTCCATTGGGAAATATTTTATTAAAGAAGCTCCTAGCGTGTGCAATGACATCATTAGCTATTTGTTTATAAACAAAATGAGTCATTTGCAGTTATAAATGATAATGAATAAGACGCCACTTCTACGCGTTTTAACATATTTTTGTGTAAATTTTATTTGATTTAATAACTATTTTTTACATAAACCTAATCACATGTATTTCAATATAGGATGACCCAAATTCGTATTGAGGACACGATAAAATACTGTTAAATATACATAATTTTCCAACTTAAACACCAGAAAAAGCCTTTTAAGGATGATTAAGCAAGTATTAATATACTATATTAAATATGACCTTTCTGATATTATTCAATACAAGTTTTTACCCTCTTGAAAATTATTCATAATAATTTCAATGAACTTCCTACAATTTAAACAGTCAACGTGTGTCATAAAGTGGAAACGACTCAAGACTATCTTGTAATCTCAAGGTTCTCTATAATGACCACTTTTAATCGACAAGTTTGCAATCACGTTCTGATGTTGGAAAGGAAATGTGATATGAAACATTTAAATTGCTCTTCTTGAATATAATTATCATAAATAAAGCCACAGAAAGACTCATAGTACATAACGTGACTAGTATTTTTAACGTTATTAGGTACATGAACTTCTGTACAAACACATCTTTCCTGGTATTAGAATATCCGAAGTTAGTTATCTTAGAAACAGCCAGATTAGCACATCGTTTTCAAGCTTGCAAATCTTAATAAAAAGTCCATAAGCATTATAAAGTGCTACAAAAATGTCTGTACAAAAAATCTTTAAATGTAGTTTAACAGAATTTCTAGACAACAAGCAGTCACAAGTTAATTGAATGGTGAGCAAGTTGCACGCTGGTCGTGGTTGGAACAAAAAAAAAAGACCCAGACATTCCCCGCGTAATGAGGTCTGTATCTTCGTTTTATAACCTCCATACACAACTTTCATAATGAAGCCTAACTGTACACGATTTAATTATGACTGCGCCATTCTTTCTCAACACATCCTTTCTGTTAAAAAATATATGCGAGAGCAATAATAACTGCATGGCTTCTCGTGGAATGCAGTTTTATATTCATAACTAACGCCTCTCCCTACTAGCTCGTTTAATATTTTCTACATAAAAAAAAATTCATCTTCCGATACCAGAGTATTTTATATAACCAATCATCAAAAGTTATAGTTCTGAAAAGATTTATAAAGTCATGTTTATTTAACCTCATTTTGGTACTAATGTATTGGGTAGTTAACAAACTTAAATTATGAGCATATTTAATAGCACGAATTTGATAGAACGAGTGGTTTAATATTGTGATAATTGACCTAAATTAACCCACAGTTAAAGTAAGAAATGTCAAAACACTGTAAACTAAAAAGTAAGCATTATTTTACTAGTAAAATGAAACTGATTTTCAATGAAGATTATAGATTTCTTGTTAAGATCGCCTTAAGTTTTATTAGGATCGATAAAGTGGCCAATAATTAATGAATAATACACATCAAATATTATGTCCACAGATTAATAATAAACTTATTATTTAATAAATTTATAGAAACAGATACGAGTCAATTCATGTCGATCAAACAATCATGTTTGATGTTAGTGAGTTGTTATAATATAATTTAAACTAATCCTAAATAATATTCAATATTCTTATACATATTACACAACTCTCGCAAACTATTTTCAGTTAAAATTAGGTAGTTCTAATGATTATCAACGTACTTTTGAGTTTTCTGTGGGCTAACTGCCAAACATTGGAGCAAAAGACCTTCGTTATTCAAATATTTAGTGTATGTAACGGCACAATTATCCATACTATTTTGTTAAAAAGCACAATTTTTGCCCTGATTGGAAAGAGCCAATGATTCGTATCCGGGGCGGTCGTTGACCCGGCAGAGGCACCTGCGCCGGCGCAGCGGTGGCGGATCCCGACCAAGGTCGTTTAGATTTTCACGCTCTGAATCATCAAACGCCGCCCTAAGGTCACATCTCGCTAGACGAAATTACAAGATGGCTTCCTCGCGCTTTACGTGAACCTTTCAAAATGGCGCCCTTGACAGACGTGTGTGCATTGCGCGTTCGAAATTCGAATGTCGGTTACAGCGGCAGTTTGATGGCATAGTAATTAGCTTCTTAGAACAAAGTCGTTAGCGCAGTAGTTTACTTGATAGAAATCTTTAACTGGAAAACGATTTATGAAACATTAATATAGAATTTTAAATACGTTTAAATTTCATGTTAACAACAAAAACAAAATAATTGACCTGTAAATATTTACATGTAGAGTTGTAGATATAAAAAATGACCTAAATTTTAATGCTTATTAAACTCGAAAGAATTAAAGTCTAAAATAGTTAAAGGCAATATTTCTTTGTCATTTACTTATTTACTTGAGAAGTTTCCAAACTAACGACCGTTACCAGTCGTGAACTGTCCGTTGAATAGGTTAACAAAAAATACTATAAAAACTAACCTTTCCGGCATACACTTTAAGTTCTTATATCTACTAGCGTTATCAAAAACGAGATTTTATTACAACTTCATTAATATTTAAACAACAATCCGCTACCGCTCACAAACCAAACGATGTTAATTTTAATACATTCAGGAAGCGCAGACGGAAGACGAATCTTTTTTGTTAACGTAAAATAAAAACGGTTTTTAAAACTGAATTAAAGTCGACCTCTGTGGAATTCAACACAAAGTCGTCGTGAAATTTCATTTACATTAATGTTTTTACTCAAGTATTACAAGATTCTTGTAATGACGTTTAAAATAGTGTATTGTGACGCGGTAGATTATAAAACTAACTAGTGTTTAATTAACATCAATAGCGTATATAAAATATAACAATACCGTTACATTTATGTCCTGTTTACATTATGCCAGTGAGGACGTACAGTCTATGTTAGACCAGTGCTACTGTCTTACTGTACTGGACTAATGTAAACGAGGCATTAAGGTAAGCATAATGCTAGTTGGAACATGAATCGCAGTCATGCAAGAGAAATATACGTCGAGTGTATGAAACTTGAAGTGCAGTTAAGCGCACATCAAAGATTTAACAAAAAAAAATAATTGTATACTCGAAGCTCGCTTTGATTGTATTTCATTAGTACAAAAATGTACATCGCAAAATGTATTACAATACATTCACAGTTAGAATTTAAAATTATAATTTATGTTTAATTTTAATAAACTGGTTTGTGACACATAAAAGTATCGAGAAGTATTATCACGTTTAACAGGATACGAATAGTTTTTAGAAACAAATCGTCTTAGCAATTCCAATTCGTATTTGATAATGATTAATTAACTAAATGTTATAAGCTGCGTCATATCATAACAGTGTCATTTTGTCACGTTCATCGTCGTGTGAATGCGAGGCACAACTTCATAGTACATGTAATATTTTATTACCTTCAGATATTGTGGGCAGCACGTTGACAAAGCTAACGATACCAACGCCTGTTAGCTGACTCATTCACAAAATTAAATCAACACTGTACGGGGAAACGCTCGCAGACGGCTCGAAACCGACGCGGACGGGACTGAGCAGCCAAAACAATACGGTAACACACAACACTTATCACGCCAGCCTACATAGATAAACCCTCGATATTTGATGTATCGGCCTTTTGGATTTAACACGGCGAATGTGCCGGCACCCCGATAATCCGTTACAATTTATCGAATGGTCAATAAACACACTTTTTCCATAATAAGCGAAAACGTGAACTGACACTTGTGTGTGGCCTAGATCTCTGCTGCGATGCGCGTGCGCCGTCCTTCTGTTACGAAGCGCCGGAGCGAACTGCGCGCGCTACGAAGTGCGGACTACCGACGCGAAGGCAACGCCCGCGGCCCGCTCACCAAGTCACCAACACACCTTATCTTTGATGACAGCGCTCGACCGTTTACTGCAACCACTCGACTGGTTACTTTATCCAGGCGATGTTATTTAGCGAATAGCATTGCAATATATTCTATAGACATAGTCTTCGAGAGAAAGGATTGTATTTCCCATGACGATAACTAAAGGAAAACTTACACTGTAAACATTCACGTTTTATTGTTCATCTATATCGTTTGTATGTTTTATACGATTGTAACTGTCTCATGTTACATTTATTACAACAACACATGCATTCAATACTCTACATTTTACCCCATTTTATGTACGCAACATTTCGCACTTTCATTTTAAATAATGTCATATTTCTCTGCAAATTAAAGAAAGTAGTTTAAATAAACTGTTAATTTTATCTCCTAACAAACGTTGGATTATGCTTATGTATAATCTTTTTAAAGATATTAAAATAAGAAATAACTTCAGGCAACACAGATAACCTTTAATTCCGTACGTCTCATTAGATTTATAAGGTCTTTAGATCTGGTTTCCTGTACAAAGATATATGTATACGTGGTAATTAAATATCCATTGTAATATATTATAAGTCTGAGAAAGTCATTGAGAAAAGTCTCAAAAATGAATTGTCTTTACTATAACAAAGCGCTCCTAAAGGAAATTTTAATAAAGCACTGCTTCTCAGAAAAGCAGGAGTTGTATGTACACTTTATTTTACAACATACATATATTGCAATATCAAAGAAAGGAATCTCCTTCAAACTAGCGATTCTTTGTAAAGGCTCAAAGCCTCGCAGCCGAATAATATATTCTAAAGAAACTATACAATGTTTAATTAATGCTTTCTTTATTAGGAATTTACAATTATTAAGTATTAATTTTTATGATACTATAGTATAAGGATCGTGCTGAGTGGCGTGCCATTGGAGAGGCCTATGTCCAGCAGTGGACTAATATAGGCTGATGATGATGATAGTATAAAATACACTTTTTTTAATTTTACTGAGAATTTTTAAAGACCAGAAGTGAGTCAGGCCATACTTTATAGTGAGAGTGATGAATTAAAAAATAAGATTAAAATAAACAATACGAAACTAGTCTATAGTAACTAGTTAAGATGATACCCTCGCGAATCAATTAAGGAACGGAAATTTTAAATTAATTAGTTCGATAAAGACAATGATAACCATAAACAATTTTAAATTGAAGACTAATAAAATAACTTTTATATCATACCTTTAGATTCTAAGTTGAAATTTACGAAACACTTTTTACGTATGTCTAAACCTGAATAATCGTACTATAAAGATTTTGAACACCGTTTTGACAAATACAGCTAGCAACACAAATTTGTAGAATTAACCAGGAGAGAGACAAGCATCGAAATAAACCCGCATTGACCCGCATATTTTTATTTGAAGCGCATAATAAACATAAGTAAACATTTGCTTACTAATATTATAAATGCGAATGTTTAGATGGTTGGATGTTTGTTTGAAGGTATCTCCGGAACGGCTCAAAGGATCTCGCTGAAATTTGGCATAGAGCGTAGTCTGGAAGAACACATAGGCTACCTATTAAGTTTTTTTTTAATTTCGCGCGGATGAAATCGCGGGCGACAGTTAGTTTTGAAAAAATCATTAGATCACGTTAGGTCTCTGCGTCAGTGTTATTTTACACATAAAAATTAAACGAATAACCTCAATATTTCAACGCGCTCTACATAAATACTTTGTTAAGGTTAGCATTTCAAATATTTATTTGCGATTTAAATTTTATTAGCTACATATAGTTGATTTCATATGTTACTCTCCATTATAATTTATTACCAACTGACCGCAGGATCCTATTGTTACTATTGCCATTCAGTCGGCACGTGATATATTCATATTAAACGGGCAAAACATATTAATACAATACTAAGGAAGCAAGAATTATTCCCAAGAAATAAGTAAACAACTGTTTAGGCCAATTAACATAATATGGTAACCGGATTTAAATACGTTATCAATATATAAATAAATTGGTTATTTTTATTGCATCTGTTTAATTAAACAAATGTGGTTATTTTTTAACTATTTATTGAATAGTTACTTGAAAATAATAAATATAAGAAAAATAGCGTGCATTATGGTAGCAAACACTTATGTCCAATGAATAATTGTTGCCAGCATAGAAAAAAAAATTATACTAATTTAAATGTTGCCAATACAAAAACAAATTAATGAGAATGTTATAAAAACAATTTAATAATTTATGTGAATTAATTGAACAGCATCGTTTAACTTTTTATTCAATAACGCGCAAACTAAACCTCACAATAGATATGATATCAAATTTCTTTTAATTTAACAGATTATTAAAAAAAAATCATCCATCTCATTTTGTTTATAACTTAGATAATAATGTCTTCTCATTCATGTGTTACGGCAGTGGAAACCCACTATTAAAGCACACACAAAACAAAAGTAACCGTGCGTTTCTTACACCAAAATCTCAGTGTAATAATTTACTTCTTACTGTTATCCCTGTCTTTCCTCTTTGAGAAAACAGAGATAACAATATTTTAAACGAGGATGACTTCAGAAACACACTGTTAGTGCTTTAACGTCACACTTCCCCATACAAGCGGACAAGGCCGTGCTCTACGTTCATGCACCCTACGAACAATGACTACACTGATAGAATATTGATGTATGCTGTATAGTGTCAGAATTATCTTTGTTCAAGATCTACTCACAAATTAATGCCGATAGGTATTTGACGCCCTCGATGAACAATGATACGTTTAATTTTACACAGCACGTAGTAGCTCCATACATTGAGTTTTAAAAAGGATATTAAACAATGATTAAATAAATAAGTACATTGTTTTAATATGAAACATATTCAGTCAAACTGCCACAAATAAGTCGTTAAATGGACACTAAGGGCTATCCATAGTGTATATTTGGGTATAGCAGAAACGTCTCTTTAGATGGTTTTGAGGAATGCATAGAGATTGTAGAGATCCTCCGAAAGAAAAACTTAGACACATCTACTACTTTTTGGGGTTCCGTACCTCATAGGAAAAAACGGAACCGTTATAGGATCACTTTGTTATATCTAGTTGAATTATTACTTGCTAAAATAATACACGATAGAGGCAAATAGGTGTTCGAAGAACTCGTTAGCACAGCAACTTTTATCTGAGTGGGAAGATGTTTGATTGCACTGGGGAAATCACAATTACATCACCAAAGAAGCTGTTCATTGGCTGTTTCTTAAGTAACATCAAATCTAAAACCAACGCTGCTAATTCGGATAATGCATTTATCATCTTGATTGTATATTTTTTATACTTATTATACTATTTTTTTTTACAGAACTAAAACTATAATTTTTTTTATAGTAACATGCGAGTAACATGGCAACATTTCAAGTAAAGGTTTTTAAGGTACTTTTAGCAAACGGAAATGGAAGTGGACTTTCCGGATGAGAGGATGCATGGAATGGGAAAATATTTTCTCTCTGTGCATCCTTTCCTCCGTCGATTAAAGGTAGGCAACGCATATGCAATTGCGGATGTCTATGGGCAGCGGTCGCTTCGCTATTTCAGCGATTTCAGGTGGCCGCTCGCTCGTTTGCCCCCTTATGATATAAAAAAAAGTTTATATTAGTTTGGGTATTCCTATTTCTTATTGAACCATATAAACCCTTCTAATTCTCTTTGGGAAACAAGTATAAAAACATGTTTTTGAACATATATTTAGACAATGAAACCATAGTCACTGCTTACAAAGTATTATGAACGTAATATTTTTCAATCGGAAATATTGAGTAGATTTAACATTTAAATTCCATGAAGCGACTTCGGCGAATTAACGCACTACGATAGGGTTACCATTTATACTAATTATTTGGAGACATGTATTCCAATAGTATGCAAATTACCTACCTACAGCCATGAGAACGTCATAGTTCTAATTCTGTTTATTTCTCGACATTAAAAAAAAAATATATATGAGATGGCGATTTGGTGAACTTGATACATGACCAAACTGGTCAATAGTCTTGGCAAGCCCTAATGAACCTTAACACTTATATCTTAATTCGATTAAAATTTTAGCAATTTTAATATACAAGAATTTATCGGAAGTTCTGAAAGCAATCAATATTGGCAACCAGCCTCGGGTCATTTAAAAATACATTAAAATTGCTTATCGAGAAAGCTCTAGAAGAATTTTTTGACTGATTTTTTTATAAATCGTACTCTTATGACCTGTAATTTAAATATTACCAACAAATTGTATTGTATAATATTAATTTTTGTAAAAGGGAAAAAAGAAAAATATCTTTACGTATACAATGTGCATTAAACAACAAGTGACACAAAGAGATAAGCAGATAGATCCAATTACTCAGCAACGTTGCTTTCTATTGAATGACTCCATAAACCATCAAGGTGGCTACCTTAGTGAAGTATATCTATAATACTAAGTAACTTCGAAGGCTAAAACCATTTAAATATGCTATTGCCATTTCTTGGAAACAAAATACAAAAGCATAAAAATAATGACAAAATAATTATTTGTAATTTAAAAATATAATCAAATAAGACTCAAATTTTGTTAAAAAAATTATATATTTTAACTACATCATATACAACACATAGTATACTTACTTTTCTTATTGGTGTCGAACCTGTCTTCGTGGCCATTGCACGTCCTATCGTCATCGTAGTCGTAGACTTTGAAACTGTCGAAGGAATACAGTTTGACGGCTTTGTTGCGACTTTTTACGAAACCGCCGACCGCCGGCTTGTGAAACTTCCGATATTCAAAAAGGTCAACAGTACGTTCACTTACTTTTACGTGTTTTTTTTTGGTTATTTATAAACACAGACTATAACCTCACTCCAACACAAAGTAATATTGTCAGACTCGGCGCACAAGTCCGATACGAACTTTCGGTACT